TATCAGAAATCAAATTTTGTTTGTAGCTATAGTAAGAATAATTTATAAGGAATCTTATGCATTTTAAATGATATAATGAGCTTGGTTTGTAAACTTTTAAACTGTTTAACGCAAATGTTTATAATTAAGTTAATATTATTCGTACTTGTCGTTAATAATTATTGTTATATCAAAATTAACCAAAAGTAAATTATTAAAAATAGATTCGCAGTGACAATGGCGCACAATAGTCCGTGCGTCTGTTTCTCCGCTAGTCTAAAACAAAGTTTTTGTTCGCTTTGATGACATACATCGATTTCACAAGTACTAATCCCGACAGTGGCTTATTGGAATAGTCTGTCACAGCCGAGAACAGTGATTGATGAGTTCAACGGCAGCTTATCCCGCGAGGAAACTCCTTTGAGTACGATTGAATAATACATAGCGGCGCGCAAATGAAATTCCCGATATTTGACTTCTAAGCTTCTACCTCTCGAACGAAAGCCCGGCGGCTAAACTTCGGCTGCCTGCGAAATTACGATTGCTCGGAGTTGCGAATGTACCAAACTCGGTTTCCAAATTTAAGCAGAAAGAGACGGATTCTCTCTTTCGCATCGGCAACGTCTATCGAGTCTCCCCGTGAAAAGGGTACGATAGAATCGGTAATTGTCTGCCAAACAAGGCTAGGCTATTCGCCGATCAATTACCGTCATAAAACATTAACAATCCGTGGAACGAATTCAATTGTATATACGTAAGGACTAAAATGTGTTTGAGAATCGTAACTGAATTGTCGACCTGAGATCATCTATCATTAGTTAAGTCAACTAATTTGCAAAACAATTTGCGAAACGATTCGTCCATTATAATCTATTACTGCATGCATGATGAGTAAGTCAAAATATTAAGATTCGAACATTAATAATCAAACGTGGAGCTTTTAAATGATAACATTCATAAACTTTCAATATAATTTGATAAAACACAATTTGTTCAAATAAAAAAATTAAATTTAAAAATACATATTTTTCATTATTAATTATAAATAGAAAATTATTATAAGTTACGTAATTATAAAGAATTCATAAAATAGCATAAAGAATATAGTTCTGTTATTTTTTATTTGTGTTTTATACATCTCATGATTCTTGTTTTATTTTATTGCTGGACTTGTCTCTTAACTCAAGTATGTATCAATTAAAATATTAAATTTAAGAAAAAAGTAATTAAGTTGCATCGAAATAATTATGCAATTCACGTTTATAATGATTCATGTTAAATTGCTTATAAAAACAGAAATTACGTCTTCCTAGCATATGACACATTTCCAAACAAGTTTTTAAATATATTCACGACATTGTCTTTTGACAAAATGAGATTGTTCACTACATAGATTGTCATAATATAAAATGTTTATGATGCTACTCTAGTGTTTGTTAAAAATTCATGAAAGTTGCATGCATCATTCTTTCTATGCAATATGAATAATATACACTAAGATAAAAACTTCATTATCATTCGTTGCATATTGATTATAGTATAATTAAGCCGTGCAAGGTTTATATTGTAACTATAAATGTTTGTATTAAAAAAAACGTCAAAGAAGAGAGAAGTTATACATATGTAAATTAAACCTGTTTCTCATGCAATCGTTCTTGAGTTTTATGTAAAAATTTTAAAAATCTAAAATATATATATATATATATATATAT